GTAGGAAACCTTCTCGTTCCCTTGGAGCTCCAGATAATGTGTTAAGTCTAAAAACATGCTTGGTTAGTCATTTGTTTAGAATCATGCAGTTGCACTGATCACTGCAGCATAATTCACACTCACACTGTCAGGTTGTAAAGAAGTTCGTCAACCCCAGGTCTGTCATGAATATGGCCTTTTCTAAAGTCACACTGTCGTCAGGTCAAGTCTTGGTCTCAGTGCCATGTGTCGTGCTCTACAGAGACTTTAAATATTCTACTAGGCTGGAGTTGTACTAGTGACATCATTGCTGTTGATGTCAACCAATGCACAAGTTTTTCTCGTGTTGGCAGCACCATTTTCTTCAGAATGTTTAACAAACAGAAATTATCAATACACTTTATTAATATACCGGCACCCTAGAAACACTATACCTGACAAAATGTTCATGCAAGCCATTCTTAAGTGAACCTAACAGAAAACCGGCCTTTTGGAATTAATATTTCCAAATTAATCAATAATAATACAATAATAATCCATTTTATCAACTTTGTTTACCCTTAGAAGTGAACATACCTCATAATGTTACATCAGGATGTTAAACTAAGCTTTGGCCAAATCAACATTATTACTGTTTCAGATCTCACTGGGAGGTCGAACAAACAAAACCTTTTTTTGTTTACATCATGCAAACCACTAACATATTTTCAAATTTCAAGCATCCAGCCTTGTTATCTCATAAAATTACGTCTTAAATAGGAATATTAGATATGAAACAAATATTTATCTTAGAAATTTTCTTCAACAAATGGAGAGTAATGCCATCTCTCTATCTAGTGAATAGCCAACATATTATAAAAAATGTCAGAATATACCAAAATAAGCTAAATACTCTTTACTATTAAAGTCTAAAGCTAGACCTAACCGAACAGTTTTTTAATGACAATTTAATCTAGAAAACAAAACAAAACTGGATTGTGTTCTTGTTATGTGTTCATTCCAAATACATTAGTAAAATACCTTTGTGAGTAATTCACAATATAACAATCCTCTCTAGGATAATGAGATCCATTCATCTTTAAACCAGATACTATTTCCCTATTTATTTTTTATATTTTGTTCATGATAGTAATGGTATAACGTCCACACGTTTTACCCATAGCTAGTCACTAATGTCAAGATTATCATGTGTGACATAATAATCAGATGTCTTGTATTGTCAAACAAGGATATTAAACTTTAATCTTTTCAGTATTCCAGACCATCATTAAACAATCAGCCTCCCTTCCTAAACACTTAAGCATATCGTTCTACACCACCTTCTGGTAAACTCTTGCCACAGTTATGCTGTAAAATCATTGCATATTTATTTCCAGAAAAGTCTGAACAGACTGAGACCAGCCTGTCTCTTGATTCTTGTGCATATTGAAGACAGTCATGTTCCATTGTCCTCTTCAGGCTGTAGTCAGTGCAGGGCACCAAAGTAAGAACGGCCTGGGTTGCAGTGGGGTCGAAAGGAAACTCTCTCTGGCATTGGGATGTCCTGAGGGGGAAGGAACCTCTGGATCAATGTGATACAATCAGCAGACACACGTTGTCCTCTGCACAGCAGAAATCCCCAAAAACTGCAGTACCTCTTCACACCACTGTTGCCTTGACAACGAGGCACAAGCAAACTGTCAATACCTCCTAAGAGATGCGTTCTTTGCACACTTCTTCTGTTTCTGTAATGAGCAACATTTCACCAACACACTGATTCAGAGTACAACCCAAAGGTGGCGCACAACTATCCAATGCTGCTGTAATCACAGCAAATCAGCTACTGAGAAAAACTCAATGTAAATCTCTCCCCCAGCGGGTGACAAAATAAAACAGCTGAGTGTCTATATGGTCAGGAATGCTGAAACATGTGAATGTTAAACCCATTAATGGTAACAGTCTTCCTATTCTTCATTACTTCAGTTCTCAGTTAATAGGCAAAACAAAGACACCTTTCTTAACCACTATAGATTCATCTTTTATCTACTTGCTTATTCTATTCTTTTTCAAATTGTTTATCTAAGTTGTGTGTTACAAGCATGGTTAGATTTGTAACAGAATACAAAACTAACTGTATTCAGCGCTATATATTTAAAACAAGTAATCTGACTACAGTTAATGAATATATTTTTGGAACACTTAAAGGAATTATTACAAAATGTAATCTTCATTATTACTAAAGCTGAAACCTAAATAAATCATCACGGAACATTTTTCTGTCCTTATTACTTAATTGTTTCAATAAAAACTAAAAAGCATTGTGAAAACTCCTACTCTTGAGAACATCTCAACACTTTTATTCCATCTAAGCACGGATGTCCATGACAGACTCGTCCTATTAATCCAAAACGGTCTTTAATGGTATCAATTGTGAACTTTCTTAATATTAATTATAAATGCAACGTATGTTCTCTTTAGA